CCAATTCTGTTTAGTGCAAAGCACTCCTGGCACATCAGTCTGCTTATTTGCACGTGTCAGAATAGCAACAAAATGGATTCCCGTGGGCAATGGAAAATAAGCTTTGCACTTGGAAAATAAAATAGTAATAACCACACAGTAAAACTGCAGATGCATGCAATAAATTAGATTTATCAACAGTCTTATAGCATTAACACCCAAAATGTGCCCATAAATCTACCCCATTTGAGGCTTATTTAATGTTTCTTCTAGAGGTGGCCAGGAGCTAGAGATTCAAACTACGTAAGAACTGACAGGCATGAAGAAAGAAAAATATTTCTTTCTTTCCCTATAAAATGTGCAACTTCCTTGTCAAAGAGATACCAGCTTGAGGCATAAGATGGGTGCATTTCCATCAGTTCACATTTTGACTTAGATACTTTGCAAACATCAAACAATAAGAAGGTAGATAGAGGATCTGGTGAAATAAGGGATTTCTCAAATATCTAATACAATATACAGGACTTCCATTTAATTTTCCCAGGATCTGTACATATATTTATGACTGAAATATATATTTATACTATATATATATTTTTTCTTCAGGTAAATAGAATATACACATTCAATACACATGCATTTAAAATTTTCCAATCTTGCAAGGTCTTACTAGAGTTTCACATATTTTATATTTACAAGATGTGGTGAGACTTAGCCTTTAACAGGTGCCTTTCAGTGCGCCAATCTAAATAAAATTATCCTTGATTTTCAAAGCCTGTGCTGGTAAAAGACCAGGAATACTCTGAAATAGTGCATGAATGAAAATACTGATGGATGGGAGAGCAGTGCAAACAGAGTAATAAACAGTAAAGGGGTGTGATTGCTGATCATACTAGCAAAGAATGGGACCAAGGAAAATGAGCAGACTGTACCTCACATTACCTCCCTGGAAACACAGGATGAGAAGTGAGGTATGCTGGAATTGTAACTGTTTTGCAGCCCCATTTTTCTGTACTTTTAGAGCACCTGCATTGTGTTTTGAAAGAAAAGACAGCAGGTAGTAGGACTAGATGATCTTCATAGGGCCTTTCCCACCTTAGCCACTCTGCAAGGCTGTGCTGCAATGTCACTGCCCAAAAAACAGGGTGATTTTCAACAAGGAAAAATAAAAAGTTGTGATTTTCAAAAAGGCACCATATAGAAGAGTCAAACCTGTAATTCCCCCACCAAAGGTAAAGGAAAATGCTGAGAACACTCATGCTGTACTGCACAGGTGACTGAGGGAAGTTGCCAACCTTGCTGTCCTGAGCAAGTGAGTCCATGGAAAATGCACATGCCAGGCTCAAGCCCAGTGCTTGAAAGAAGCAGGTTAGTATGAGACAGCACCACTTGGTTCCCATGAGCTGCCATCCTTCCTCCACAGCTCTGAAGACTCCAGAATTTAAACAGCTGGGCCTTTCTCTTTTTTTTCTTTTTTTTTTTTTTTTTTGATGCTTTATTATAGCAGCAAGGCAGCAGATTGCTTATATTCCGTTTTTCTCGGACTCTTTTTAAAAGTGTGAATGAGCATGTGTGTATGTTGAAGTGATACCATAAGGACAAGCCACATTTTTAGTAAATATTACTTTCAATTACCCTGGAATGTAAAAGTGCACTTGTGCAAAACTAGCTGCCCAAAAAGGAAAGCAGAGCTGTAAACCACCCTGCCTGCAAGTTGAGCATGTCAGCAGGAGAGTCACTGTATAAGGGCATGTTTACAGGTCATGTAAGCCTGCACCTACACTGAAACTCATGCCCTAAATCACAGCACATGCATGCACTCCATTGCCACAGACTCCTCTATGCAGGGGCCTTACATGTAGCAGATGTAGCAGAAAACCAGCTGAGACCCTGTGGTCAGAGGACACCAGATTCCTGGGTGAATTTAAACCTTTTCATCTCTATGAAGTGGGTAGAGGAGAGCAGGGAGCAGCCCCTCACCTGTGACTGTCAGCACTGTGAACCTCATCACTGAAGCACCTCAAGGTGGATTTAAACCAGTCCCTGCTTTTGAATCACTCCAGCAGTGACAACAAACCACGGTCCCAGCTCAGTTCCAGCTCCCCTTGCCTGCAGAGCTGTGGACTGTGCAAGCCTTTTTCACCTGGTTCATCTCAAAATCCAGCTGGCAAAAAAACTGCTTAAAGGGCTCTGCCTTTGAACATACAGCAAGGGCAGTCAGACCCAGGAACATCTGTGACAGCCACATACACCTGTGCAGGGACAGCAGTACTGACACATGGGTAACTGTCAGTAAGGCTGATGCTGTCAGTACAGCCATAAGCAGAAGGAAATGAAAAATTAAGGTACAAACCAGCTGGTTTTCAGTGATGCCAGAATGTTGTGCAATGCCTGTGATGCAGATAGAGAAAGAGGCAGGACTGAGCTGGGTAACAAGGATGATGGCAGGTGACACCTTTTTCTCTGGCAAGTCACTTAACTCTCACAGGCTTTGGGCCTCCCTTCATTCAAGTCTTTCTCTATGAGATCTGTAAGACAGGAACAGTGTCACTAGCCTTAGTCATTACCCTGTTTTACCGAGTCCCTTATTTGGGCTGGAAGTGATTTGGCAGTGAAATGCAGATAAGCAAATAAAAATGGGCAGTTTTGGATGTTGTCACTTCTGGGAACATAAATGCACACTGTCCATTTCCCTGCAGAGCTGGGATCTTGCAGTGACACAAGACTTACTTCTGCAGGTCCTTCCTTTGGGAAGTCTCACTTTGGAAGTGAAGTTACATTACTGGGAGTGGCAAGGGAGTAATTCTGCAATAAACAGAAAGACACCAGAAATGGTAAAGTTTTTGATGAGATTCTTACACATAAAAGGAAATGAAGACTGTGCAGAGGTGCAGTTTGACCCTGTAACCCTACAAGCATTGAGAAAATAGTGAGACTTAAGAATAAGGAACATGTTTGGGGTTAGGGGATAATAAATCACTGAACTGGAATCTGAAATGCTAGGCTCTTCTGTTCAAAATACTGCTCCAGCATCCCCAGCCTCCATCAGATGCCCTGCATGCCATACCAGGCTGAATTCAACCATATGTTTGTAGCTAAGCTATGAAATTCATTTGTCAAGTCCTGGGAGTTTTTGGCAAGTTGTCCTGTGCTATATGTGTGGTCTGCTACACTAGAGCAGGCATGCAGAGCATAGTAACGGGAATGTCTATAGGATCCAGGGGCAACACAGCTGATTATTTCCCTTCTCTGACTTTTAGTGCTGTTTAATAATGAATGGAGACAGAGAAGACTCAGGTGGAAGCTGTTTCAGCACAGTTTCAGGCTCAAAGCCTGCTGAAGCCTGCTGGAACAAGCTATAAATACATATCTGAGCTCCACGCCAACTGTGCAGACTCAGAAGCTGCTTCCTTCATTCAGGGACTTCACCGAAGAGTCTGGAGCCTCTTGGACTAGAGGTAAGTCAATGGCTGGCAGAAGTCACATTTTCCTTGTGAAAGGGGATGTGGAAGATGCTGGGACAATGCAGGGGCAGATGACAGATAGGAAATGGTTTCTTGGGTGTTTTGAAAGGAAACACATAATCCAGAGTTATGGACCCTCATTAATCAGGCAGAGTAGCTCTGAGGAGCCAAATCTCACAGGAACAGCCGTAGGACTTGGAGTCATTTGTAAGCTCTTCCTAAGTGAACCCTTGGCATGACATTTGCCCAAATTCTCCATCCCAATTCAAATATCACCACCTTGGCCTATGAACAGTTGCTTAGTGGCTCTGATTCAAGCTGATTCACAACAAAAGATAAATCTTTCTGCACCTAAAAAAAGAAAAAGCTGCTGAGAAATTCTTCAATTCCTCTGCCTTGTGCAATCTCAGACCAGGAGTTTTTGCAACAAAGTCAGTCTCATTTCTTCATCTGAACAACCCTCTTCCTTGCTGTGTTGATTGCTATGGGTAGTCCTGCCACCATATTTTTTAACAGAGCACAGAATGCAGAAAGGAGGTAGAACTGTCAGAAAGAAGTTTAATTGACATTTTTGATATACATCATGAAGCTGTCACTTTAACAGAGATTAACAGGCTGCATGGCAGGAAAAAGCTTGGATCTTTCTCAGTCTCAGATAATCTCATCTGCAGAAGGAACTTCAGCTCCTGAAGGTACCATCTAACCTTTTCCATGGTGAAAAGACCCATGAAACCACTGTTACATGGAGAAGTGCTGCAACTTGCCTCCCAGTGACAATGCAAAGCCATCTCTAAGGCTGTGTGCTGACACTCCTGGTCCCCCAGGAACCTTGCTTCCCTTCAGTCCTCAGAGATTCTTTTCAGCTCTTCTAAGATGTATAAACTCAAATAGCCCAAACCTTAAAAGCCTGCACATCTGAAACTGAGTCCTCATGAATGCCAAACTATCTTCATTTCACCTGAGGATGGCAGAAGACACAGGCACTCAGCACTCCTCATCCTCCAACCCCAACTGTACATCCAACCTTCAGGCTCCAGAGGACAAATCAAACTCCTCTGTGAAAGCAACATCCTGGAAAAAACAGCCACAGGCTCTCTCAGGTAATTTGAAAGATAGCCATGTTTCAAATCTGTCCATTAAACCCGACAAAAAACTGTAACAGTGCCATCCAGGAAGGATTTAACCATAGTGCATAAAATCCACTTCCCCACTTTGGCACAGGAAAGCACAAGATGATATAAAAATAAAGTCTTACAAGGTATATGACACCCTCCAGGCAATTCTCTGATAGAGCTACACCTCTGAACAGAGATCCACTTAGAGATGGCTTTTAGTGCTATATTGTAGCAGCTGTTTCCCACCTCCCACTCAGTTTATATTTAACTGCTAAGTTTCAAGCACCCACTGATCCAGGCTGAGGTCCTGAGATGCTCTGGGTGGGCACAACAGCTGCTTCCCTGTACTTGTCCCAGCACAGAGAGGGGACAGGCAGTGTCAGGCTGGCCCTCTGTCAGGGATGCCTCAGCATCAGCTCTGAGCTTGGAGCCAGGTACTCACCTAAGAGCTGCACTCCACGGGTGAGCCCGTAGACGTCGATCAAGGCCCAGAGGGGCTCTGCCGTCCGCACGCCGCTGAAGAAGAGCATGGCAGCAGAGTCATTCACCCGGTAGAAAACGCGTCCCTTCTTGTCCACCCAGAAGGCTATGATGTTCCCCTCGTTTGCAAACTCTTCTGGCAGAGCCTTGGCCCAAAACCCGCTCTGGGAAACCAAGTCAGGGCACGCATACTTTGGCAGAGTGTCAGGGTTGATCCTGGATGGATCCTTGGAAGTAAAGCCGAGTCGAAGAGCCCCGCTCCAGCAGCACTGCTTTTTAGTGATCTGCAAAGACAGCAGCAGCAATGACAGTGCTGGCACCTGAACGCCACCTTGCACACTGCAGGCTTTATGCATCCAGCACTGCTGGCCAGCGTGCAGACATCCCCACCAGATTTAGGAAACATTTTACCCACCAAACAATGCTGTAGCTTTCTCAGCTGCACACAGCAATGCTGCTGCACACTTAGGATGCAATGCCCATATTTAAAACCAAATAAATCAAACTAAATCTATGTGGATAGGTGAAATGTAATTACAGCTGCATGACGATTCATTTCTATTTCTAGGGTAATTCCTTTTGGCCTAAGAATAACCCACACACAAAATGTGCCAGAAATGGGCACAAGACCTTTTATCTCAGCAGAGCTCTTCCCACATGGTGCTCAGATGATGGGGTCTCTCATCTATCTGACCTGAGAGAAAAGCTCCAGAATCACAATTATCTCCACTGGGTTTTCTGGGTTTCTCAGGCAAGTAACAGACAGTCTTTCCCTTGTTTAACTTGTCATATTGGATGACATATTGAAATCACAGCCTTGCAGCAGAGAACTTGTGTGTGGGAAGGCACAATATAGAGTATTTGACTTCATTAAATACAAAATTTTGAAGCAACAATAGATGTAATCTTATGATTGGAAAAACCTACTTATTTCAGCTGTGAATGGTGTTTTGCAAAATATGTTGTGTATAACTACACCCCAACCTGTCAGTATGCATTTATTCAGTGTGTCAGGGGTCAGGAACATCTGCTGTGGTTTTTGGAATGGTTCATGTGTTATACCCATCCTTCTGCACCTGACAGACAGCAGGACAAAGGACAAAAGATTCCCTGAGAGTCAACATCTTCTACTCACAAGAACAGAGCCCTGGCTAGCAGGGGATCTGTGGGCAGCAGGCAGCAGGTCCTAAACACATGCAGCACATTGAAAACACTACCCAGTTATAAGGTCTCTTTTTTTCCCATGGAAGCAAGGAGTCTTCCAGAGTTTGTATGGTCCTCAGATGACATCCTTGGTGAAGTTTTTCCTCTCATTTTATTGATTGAGTAGGAACCTGCTAGGAATTGTTCCTCTCAACGGGGTTCAGCCTGTCAGCATCCAGACTATGACATGAAATACCTAAGGATGCTGGATCCAACTGTGATGTGGGGCCAAGACAGTTCCTGAATGCCAGTTGACCCACAATCACTGTATCTGTTCACACTTTGAACCTGCAGCAAACACAAGAGCACTTGGGACAGTCGTCTTCCATCAATGCCTTGGCAGCCTCAAGCAACTCCACTGCTGGCCACAGGACAAGAGCAGAAACATGGATAGGTACCACCTGCCAGATGCCACACAGAACTTGTTGCCCTTCTGTAATTTCATGCTCTGCCAAAGCACTAATGGCTGGGATGAATGGCAATGACAGAGACTGAACTGTCCAGGACTGCAGGTCTGTTCTCAAAAGCCTGGCAGCAGCCCCACATGTCCCAGCTTGGAAGCACAGAATTTTCACCATGGAATTCTACAAGACATTTTCTTTGGACTTCTGAATTCCCTGCTAATCAAATTTGTAAATACTGTGTTTTTCTTTTACATATTCCTCTCCAAGGCAAATCTGGAACATGTGCCCTTGGGGTCACAATAATCTTACAACAAAGACATTGTTCAAAGCCTAGAAATTTCTGTTTTATAATTAAAGTATCAGAGAAAACAACTCAGACCTCAGAAAAAAGTTATTAATGGACAATTTTTCAGTTAAGGGAGTGCTGCTCTTTATCCCTCAGTCCATCCAGGCACCTGAACTGTTTATATGAAACACCTGAGCACTCACCTCAGTCCCAGGAACCATGGGAAGCTCCTGTTTGTGTGGTGGACACTGGGGTGACACTAAAAAGGACTGAAGCAGATTCGCTATTTTATATACCTGGCCAGGGTGGGATGGCATCATGCACGTCCCCAGTAAAGTGGGGTTAACAGGGTGTGCACATGACAAAACATAATACACTCCAAGAAGAAACCCGTGTTATTTTTTGCAGCAAATTTACTGCAAGCCCTAAAAGCTTTCGGGTCTAAGATAAATATGGCCTCATTGTCATTTGTACAATTCAGCCTCTTGCCAATACTTCACAGCAATCACAGGCAGCATGAAGTAAATATTCATATGGTAATTGAGGCTGCACATGTTCCATGTATTAATCAGCACCTATAAACAGTTCTCAATACAGTCTGACCACAGGCAAACTAATATCCAAATTAAAATCAAGTATAAAGCCTGCCAAGAATTAGACACAGCTGGACAAAGGGCACACAGTTTTGCTAAAAAAGGCAACAGTTAATGATGGACCAAATTCTCTTTTCAGCAGCCACTGCTAGCAGAAAAGCATGGGAGGTCCACTGGGTACCAGAAGGGGAGGAAAATACAGAATCAACATGCAAACTGCTAAACCATTGCTGCTTTTACAGATTCAGGCTCCTGTTCCCTACTGCCTTATGCCATCTTTGAGAGCTATACTTCCTAGCCATGCCCCAAATTACATGGAAGAAAGCATACTGGAGCATTTTTCTCTGAGGCTGCTTGACAGCCATATTCCCCTATTGCCAGAGCTGCAAAATAATGCCAGAATAAAACTTGAGATACAATAGCTAATAAACAGAATTAAATCTCCTTACTTCTTTCCTCCATTTTCCAGAGGGAGTTTAGACTTTATAGGACCTGAATACTGGGCTCATGGTTAGTCTGTGGCTGGTAAGAAGGTCTAAGATGCTGCTTTCCACAGCACAAACAACAGCGAGGCAGTTACAGGATAGACTTACCATACAAAAGCAAGGATGTTTTCACACTTCATCCCTCCCTAGAGCACAGGTTCTGCTAAAGCCTGTTGATTACTCCCATGAGACCTTCCCATTGGAGTCAGCAGGAGCTCTGCTCATAAATCTCTTGTGCAGATTTGCATGCATATCCTTCACATATGTTATGCAAGCTAAAATCCCCAAATACACAGAGATAAACAAGTGTGAATTTCCAGAGATAGCTACCTTGTTTCAGAATGTGGAAGAAATAACACAGAACCTTTGCCTAAACCACTAAATCCACTCAAATCTTTGATGGTGTCTTCAAAAGTGAAATGCTGCTTTCATCTCCTCCCAGATTATTTGTCGCAGTTGCTTGTCCAAACTGCTGGCCAACATGGGAAAAATCTCATTAGGCATTGTGAGAGATTCCTGCTGGGCTTCCAGCCTGGATAGAAGCAGTAAGAGCTCCACAAGAAGCATAACAAACCTCTAGTGGGGATTTTCTATCTCTGGGCCTGAGCCTGAAATCACTGAAATCTCCACATGTCCCAGAAGGAAGCAAGTCCCTCATTCCTTGCTCCTTTGCTGGCTGTGAGGGAAGAGGCAGGGAAGGCTGAGATGCTGCTGTAGGACACAAGACTCCAGGACCTCTAGAAATGGGCAACAGCAAGATCATTCAAACCATGTATCTATATGCTGACAAACCTTCTGGAAAACTCCTTCTACATAAATAAAGGATTTGCAGTCCGATCATTCATGTGTGGCATGAACTAAAGTAGCCAAAGATGACCTTTTTTATTCCAATAAAGGCATGAAATTGTCTATGAACAGAAAAACAAAGTCCCATAAACTAGAGGCCATAAAGATTGGAAATTATCAAAGATAAAGTTTCAAGGGTCCCAAGCTCCTTAAGATGCTGATAATCTCAAAAGTGCTTCAGTTCCTAAGGACATGGAGGAATTTCTTCATCAGAAAGCAGCTCCTGGTGTTCATGGAGGCATGTTGTCTAAGAGGAGCTGCATTTCCCATGCCAGCTGCAGCATGGCATGGTGGTACCAGGGGTACAAACGCTGTCCTCCAGGCTACCACAGACACAAAGGAAGTGAAATCAGCCTGTGCTAGTGAGAAAAATGTGATCCTTGCAATGTTCTCTCTTCTGATCTTAATGCTATCAGGTGACTGATTCAACAAAGCAGTCAGCAGACTGCCAGAAAGGTCCTTTTCTTAGACAGCAACAGTGATCACACTGACTGCTCCTTTCATCCTTTCCTCCAAATTCTTTTGTTTTTCCTGCCAAGCATGTGAGCAAGAACGTTCACTTCTAGGTCCTTTTTGACCTCTTATCTCCTGGCTTTCCAAGCAATCTCAATTTAATCTGTTGTACTTGTCTAACACCAATGTAAGTGCTTTTGGAAGGTGGATTTCCCAACTGTTCTCAGTTTCTACAGCAGTCTGTACCTAAGGCTCCAAGAACTGCAGCGACAAAAGCAGAACTACCAATGAAGATTGCAGATCTTTAAGGCCAAGGTCTGACTACTGTGCTTTTCAAGGAAGGACTAAAGCTCTGCTGCAAGCACCAAAGCCCCCTACATCCCAGCATCCACTCCCAGCAGATCCCGTGGCTAAAAGGGAAGGTATAATTTACTCACCTTAAGCCTGACTTGTTCATAAATAACAATGGGCCTGTTGCTGAAGGTAATGGCATTGCAGAAGCTAGCCTGGCGCTTCACTGCCTTCTGTGTTGTGTCCATGATGATCTGGGATCCCTTCGTGTGAGGATGGAAAAGCAGAGGGCTGATGGACAAAGTTCCACATTGTGGGATGGGGAGACAGTGCTTCTGCTTGTGGTGGCATCGGTGGGAGGACGTTGAAAACGACCCACCAATGGAATCTGAAAGCAGAATGGGGAAAAAAGGGCTTCAAATATGGAAATTTTCAATTAAAAAAAAAAAAACAGAGGCACTTCACATAGAAAGTATAGGTAAAACAAAACAAAGGGAGAAAAATCCTTAAACTGTAAACCACTGAGGGATTTTAGAGCATCTTCTGCAGCAAAAAACTGCAAAGATACTGAAGACTCCTGTTTGGACAATCTGACAGTACAGAGCATGACACTGGGACTGCACCTCAGCACTGAAATCACAGGCCATCTTGAGGCCACAGACCAGGAGAGAACACAAGAATTGGTTCTAAAACTGGAGCAAAGCATTTGTGAAGTTGCTGTATCAAAGCTGTCACACCTAGGGAACAAATCTTCCACTTCCAGAGGACTCCTACACAACTTGACCATTTCTCTCACACCTCCTTTGCAACAGCAACTCCACTGATCTTTGTCTCCATGTGCCTGGGTGCCCCGTCCACCCGTGCCAGCTCAGGCACACACATTGCTAATTTTCACACACTGAAGCACCACTGAGCAGTGACCCACCTGGATCCCTCCAACGACTCCCACCCAGTCTCCTCTCTCCTCCACTGGTAAGAACCTCAGCTGAGATCCCACATGTCATGAAGGCATTGACCAGCACACTATGATCCCAGTGAGGAAAGGTAAGAGGGAGAAAGGCTGTGAAGGATGGAAGAAATTACATCTTTCTCCACTCAAGACTCTACAGAAAGACTTGACACAGGATCAGCACAGCCACGACAGCAGCTTTGTTCCTGAACAAATGGACAGACACGTTTCTTTTCAACAGGGAGCCTGCAGCAGTTCCAGCTCAAAACAACCACTCTACTGAACACAAGTCATCTGCTTCCCCTTCCTTGTGTGCACATACACACTACATCATGCACATATGTTTGGGAGGAACTACTCCTACATTTGGAATCAGAGTACCAATAGAATACAGGACTATTCTGTGACAGATTGAAGGATGCTACAAAAGCAAATATGATCTTAAGAATGTGCCAGTTTCTGCTGCAGAGATGCATCACTAAACAGTACTCTTCAAACACACAAACTATAGAAACTTATTATCTATATTCTTAACACAAATTAATTGCTCACTGCTATGTATTTCTATAGCTACTACAAAATAATGGTTGCACCTCTAATATAAGTCATGGTTTGCAATAGAAAGTCCAGACTCTCTTCCTTCCAGTCTTTTGGGTAGTCTTAGCTTGTAGCTACAAAAATCTGTAACAGCACATCCTCAGGCTGAGTGTGATTAACTATCAGCAGAACTTAAAATGCTGGCTTCTGATGAGAACATTATAATTCAACTTCAGCATCTGTCACTCTGGCCTTCTCATCCCCTTGCTGGGATTTTTTCTCCCATTTTCAGCAACAGTGCTGTTCCTTCAGAACAGACCAGAGAGGCCATACAGCAGGGCTGTTACCTTTAAAGTCTTTCATTAATGCTTTATGGGAGAGCTGAATCAACTGGAAGTTTTTTTATGCCAGAAGTGATGTGGAATATGTCAACTTTCTTCTCCTGTTCCTCACCCATGGAGGAGAAATGAGCTGCAGAGTGGGGAGAAAAAGCAGAGGTTAACCTGAGTAGGCAGGTCACAGAGGGAAACCTTTGGGAGGAACGGACTGTATGAAAGGCGAGCTTGACAGGAGGTCAGGATGCAGAAGCTCACATGAGCCTGACCTTTTCCCTTTGGAAAGGTCACTGCTGACCTGGGGTGGTGCACCCTGGCTTTCCCCACAGACCAGCCTGGGTGGTCCTGGCTGGTCAGAAGACAACACAAGCTGCAGCAGGCCCACAGACAGAATCTTCTCACAGTACTGCCTAAAACCTCTTTAATTAGAGACCAACTCATGCCCCAAAGAACAGCAGGTTGAATTCCTTCCAGTACCACTAGACTTTTGCAAACTAGGTGTGCTCTCTGCTATCACCCCTTTGAAACTGCTATCTTGTGACAAAAGTCACAAGAGAAAGATCATGCCTGTCTGAAAACAGCCTCTGTGTTGAAGGGCTGCAAACCCAGAGGTGCAGCATGGAGCCCTGTACAGCTTTCCATCTTCCATGTCACAAAGAACAGCAGCTGCTCACTCCTTAGGTTTGACCTCATTTCTCCATCCATGCCCAGTTCTGGATGCTGTTTGAACTATTGCACCCAGCACTGGGTTTCAACCCTGAACACCACGTCCCCATAATACCACAAGCCCTGCCAAGAGCACAGCAGAAGTGCTGAAGTACCACTTGCTTCCCTGAGCCACTGGGCCATGGACTGGATCTTCTGAGACCTTTAAGTGAGCCAGGGTGAAGGAGATGCTAACATGAACCACACCACAACCCAGCTGAACCATTCTGCCTTCAGTGTCCCACTGCTAAGAGTATCCTTTTTGGAGCTGTCTGGTAAAGCAGAGTGTTTCCCCAAAGCTGGAACACTCCTCCTGCCCTGTGCATTACATGTCCCTGGTCTCCTGGATCTCCAGGCATTAACAACATCCTGCATACAACTCACTACACACAAGCCAACACTGGCAGTTCTCAGCTTAGAAAAATGCAGATCAAAGCCTGATAGGGGCTTTCACCAGAAGTGTTCACGCTCTGCAAACATTAGGCATAATCTTAAAGGCTTGGGATTTCTTGAATGCTGCAAGAAATGTCTGGATTTATTTTTTAAAAGATACATTTTTGCCAGTTGAAAATATCTTTACAGGCACTTGTGAGAATACTGTAAAAATCACTTCAGATTCAAAACTGACTGCAAGGTATTAAAGATAAATTTCTTACAGCGTGTGAAATAAGTGCCATTCAGAATTGAAAGAAACAGAAAACAAGACTTTATAATAGAGCCCAAAGACTGACATGCAGTGGCAAATGGAAATGACATATCCTTGTCTGCCTGGGGAGAAGGAGAGGCCTGGGGTGGGGACAGAGGCACCTGTGCTGCAGGCAAGGGAAAGTGAAACGAGCATGCAGGGCAAACACCACACTGTGAATGGAGAAGAGTGTTTCAGTTATTACCTTATCAAGAGATGCCGGCAGTGCTTTATCTGGCAGGTGGCCTTACTGGATAAGCACTTAAAAGGGAAGGATTTTGAGAAGGAAGGAAAGGAAACCATGTGTGGATGTGGGGACAGGGACACCCACACAGCACAGCAGAAAAGGCCTGCCCTAAAGGAGTATCCACACAGCCTTCCCAAAGCTGGGTACTTAGTTAGCAGCACAGGGAGAAAAAATCCAACTGAGATGAATGCTTGTAATCCTTGCCATGTCTCGAGCTGGACCCATACTTTTGAAAATTATCAGTGAAATACAGCATAACTAGTTACACTGAACCTTTATACCCTCTTATATCTGTTAATAAAAAGGTCTGAAGGATAAAATATTGAAATTGTTGTGCTAGGCTTTGCAAAAGGATTCTTAAAAGCACAATTTGAAATACAGTTTACTAAAAATAAACATTAGCTTAACACCAGTGGAAACTTGAAAGGGATTGCAAACCTTGTTTTCTCACATGCAGCCTGACCCAGGGCTTGTGCACAGAAGAAAGAGAACCATAAATTAATGCAAATCTTCGCTGCCTTTAAAAACATGTTTGCTGTTCTTGAGGGAGTAAGTAATAATGTATCTCCAGTCTATATCCAACTCTCCCTGGGCCTGTGGGATGACAATGACCCTGTCAGATTGCTGTCACCACAGTGAAGAACTCATGTTTGCATGGCAAGATGACCAAGAAGCCAAAGCAAAGCTTTGATTCTCCACAGGAAGAGACTATAGCTTTGCAAGTGTTGGGGTATTCAATGATAGAAATGCAAAGGGTTAACCATAGAGTGCTAAATCCAAATTAAGGAGTGTTTTGGGTTAAACTTCAGTGAATTAGGGAAGTATCTACAAGGTGGATCTCAGCCAGCTGGTCAGATCTAGCACTCCCATCCAAGACTCCAAAAGAAGTCAAAGCCAAAACATAACTTATTTTCATCTGTGCTATTTTAGAGGTGACAAGATGTATCAAGTGAGGAGGCTCTTGCATGGGGTAAGATTTTCCATTTAAATTGCAAACTGCAAGACAAGAGGCAGGTGCAGACAAACCACATGCAAAAGAAAGGAGATAATACCAGTCCCCTTTTTTTTAACCTGAAATGCAAAGTTGTCCAAGTTGTCTTTACAGTAAAAGATATGAAAGACAACAAGGGTGGTTTTACAGCATCTGTGAGAAGCCTTTCCCCTGCCAGTATAAAACTTGGGCAGCAGAAGCTGGAGCTGTTTGCAGGATGATCTGCAATGGATCCGTCTTTCAAACCTGACTGACAAGTGGTGGGAAGGGAGTGGTTAATTTGTGTGGAGCCCTCAAAGTGAAGAAGCTGATCTTTCATTTCATAAAGAAAAATTAAGTTAGTGGAAGGTATTCAAAAAATGACAGTAAGGACAAAGGGCAGGAAAATAGGTGCAACAAGTGAAATTTGTAATAAATACAAGCACAACAAGACTTTGTTTGTCAAGGGCAGAAGAGATGACATCAAAGCTTCAGAACAGAAAGGAAAGGAGAAAGTCTGTGTCCTGAAGATAGGATAGATGCAAGTGGGATCTGCGAGACTCATACTCGTGTGTTTGAGGGCTTTTCAGAGGATGAGCTGAGACACTGGCACTTCCTCTGTCTCTGCTTATCTGGGATGTGCATTTGCCCTCCATCACTTGCAGTGCTGTAGCTGAGGAGCAGAGACATGTCCTGTCCAACAGGGTGCACAGACAGCAACCTCTGCAGGAGTGCCAGGCGGTGACCTGGGAGTGGGGCTTTTTTAGCAGCACAGCTGAACACCTCAACTTAGGAGTCCCTGGTCAGAAGCTGGATGTGAGGCTTTACAAAAGCCTGCTTGAAGACAATGCTGAGGCTCTGACTATCAGTAAGAGTCAGGAGTGTGGCAACTTTTGTAAAGCTTGAAAAAAGTAGATGAAAGGAGCTGAGGAGTGACAGGAGAATAAGAGCTCTGCTTCA